GCTGGTCGCCCAGTCGTGTCTGACTCTGCAACCCCATGGACTGTAGCTCGTCAGGCTCCCCTGTTCATGGAATTCTCCAGGCAAGAATACTGGAGTGGGTAGCCATTCCCTTCTCCAGGTGAGCTGCCCGATCCAGGGATCTAACCCAAGTCTCCTGCACTGCAGGCAGATTCTTTACCCTCTGAGCCCCCAGGGAAGCCCCAAGAGACAGAGGAACATGTTAATAATACTGTAAAGACGCAATCAGCAAACCCAAAGTACGGGAGATTTTTAGGAGAAACAACCCTTCCTCACACACACACACACACACACACACACACACACACAGACCCTTTCTTACACACACACACACACACACACACAGAGACCCTTCCTCACACACACACACACACATAAGTCGCAAGGATAAAACTACAGAGAAGGGAGAATTTTAAACACCTATTAATGAATAACAGTGTGTGGAATTTATTTGGATCTGAAAATGAAAAACAAACTGTTTAGAATCAGCAAGTTACTCCCTCCAGGCCAAATCCAGTCCAGGGCTTGCTTCTGTTAGGTAGTTAGCATAGGAAAAAGGAGCCCAGAATGGCGGTGGCTAAAAGACAAGGAAGGGAGAAGCCCGTGAAAATAGAACAAAGGAAGGTCCTAGGACCAGAGTGAGGACCTCAGGTAGAACAGCGGTCCGGGCTAGCCCAATTTACATAGGGCGAGCCCGGGGGGATGAAAAAAAAAAACATATAAAAAGAGCAGCCAAAGGTCTGGGAGGCGGGGGTTTCCCTCGAGGGCACCATGTGCTTTTTCTTTCTCTCCCAGTCTTTTAGGTTGGCATGCCCTCACGCCTCGAGGATGTATTTTCCTTTATTTTCTAAATAAAACAGAGCTGTAACACGGAGCTGACGCACCGAGGGCTTTAACATCTGTCGCTTCAAGTTTTTGTTGTGATGAGACAGAACTGAGGAAATTACACTCCCCTGACACTTCTGTAAGGCCCTCAAGGTAAAAAAGCTTTGTTTAAAAAAATGAAATTAAAACAAAAACAAAGACTATGCAACAGGCCAATATGCAGCAGAGACCAAGTGTAGCCCCATAAACCTAGAACATCTACTATCTGGCCCTTCGCAGAAAGTGTGCCTTGTTCTGAAGCTATGTGCTAAGGTATTTACAGATGAACAGAGGTTAGGATGTCTCAGATTCACTTCCAAATAATCCAGAGGAGCGGGAAGAGGTCTGGAAGGAACAAGACTGGCCAACTGTGGAAGCTCTGTGATGAGGCTTCATTATACTGTTCTCTTTTTGCAAATGTCTAAAATTTGTCATCATAAAAAATTTTAAAATAGGCTGAACAAGGAATAAAAGTGATGGCTGATCTTAAATGTCAGTGTGGCAGAGACAGCCAGGGGCCCCACAGTATCTGTGCTTCCTTGTTAACAGAATTTTACTCGGTCACATGACTAAGTTCTGGCCAATAAAATGTGAGAGCTTGTGAGGGCTTGGAATAAGTACCGGCAAATGGAGAAGGGACAACTTCCTATTCTCTTTTCTTCGTTGCTAGTAGTTGTAACTGATGGAGACTGAACAGTCATTCTGCACCACAAAGTGGAATCTGTGTGCTATGATGATGGGAAAGCAGGATAGAAGACCACATCCTGGCCAGTCTGTGAAAATGCCACATTGGCCTTGGACTGCCTATTGCTAGGCTTCTTACACATGAAGGAGAAATAAAGTTCTACCTCTTGAAGCCAGGATTATTTTGGATTTACTTGTAGCCAGATCTACCCCTAGCCCATACAGTCAGGAAAATATTTCAAAATATTCACCTTATTCAAGGTGAGTCTGGAACACAAGCACAGTTTTGGCTGGTGACTGTTAAAGGACAGAACTGTGGGTATTCCAAAGTTTTTCCCCCAGGTCAGTGCAAGAAAAAGGCTTTTCTTCCCCTCAATCAAAAAACTAAATGTGTGTGTGTGTGTGTGTGTGTGTGTGTGCTCTTGGAGAAGAAGCTGGAGGGCTCAGCAGGGAGACCCAAGAGGATCTGAAAAGAGGTAAAGCAGAGTCCAGAGAGACAGGTAAGAAGCTGTACACCTGAGAGAAGGAATGCTGGAAAGGCGAGATGAGGAAGAGCTGGGGTCTTGGTTTTGAAAGGACAAACTTGTGTATCTGTCTGACCTCAAGAAACTCAGCCCTCCAATAGCCAAGTCCTGGGCTGGAGGTGGTTCCTACAGCAAATGGGAAGTGAAGGCCTTTGAGTTAAGTGGGGAGTCAATTGTCAGCTGTTATGACAACTTAGACCTTTACAAATGGCAGCACCATGGGGTCTGGATCGTCCCTGCTGTCTTGACTGACTCCAACCACAGACATCCCCTAGTGACACAGGCCAGCTCCTGCTCATCCTATAGGCCTCAGCCTGCCCGTGGGAGCATCCCTGGGGAAGCACCTCTGATCACCCTGAAAAATGAAGGTCCCCCAAGACCCAAGTAAGACCTTGCACTCATTTTCCTCCACAGCCTTAGTCCTGTTATAATTAATTATTCAATTATGGGTCTTTGGCTGTTGCCCTTTCCACCTTTAGACTGTAAACTCCATCAGGTCAGGGACTGTGCCAGTTTTATCACTATCCTCCTAATTCCACCACACTGTCCAGCACACAGGAGATTCTCACTAATGGCTTCTTGAATAAAAGAAACAAATGTGAATTTCCTGAGCTTCTCACTGAGAGAATCTCTGTTCTGCTTGAAATATTTTAGGGACAATTGTGGAAAAGTTCAGACACTGACAGGTTCATAATCAACAGGTATCTCTTTCTCGCTCCCTCCCCCTCTCTCATCCTGGTCAATCTGAAAAAAATCTGATAAATTTTCTTTTAGACAACTTTTCAACTGACAGTGGCATGTTAATGATACCACAAAGAAAATCCACTTGGGAACGTCACAAAGCTTCATGCCTGGAAACTCTTCTATTTGTGATGTCCTGACTTGTTTTAAACATCTCATTACAATCATGCAGTAGAAGGAAGCCTTAACAACGTCACCTGAGAAATAACACTTGTCAGTGACAGCATTTCCAGAAGCCTGGACAGGGAGAGGTGAGGCGAGGCAGAGGTGACAGGCACCCCGACAGGGATGCGTGGCCCCGGTCATGTCTCACCTGTCCTGCTGACCTCAGAGAGTGACCGGAGGCTTGCATGGGAGAATGTGTGGCCAGGTGCCAAGTCTGGAAAGCGGCCCCAGGTTGCCTCTGTAGGTCTCATGGCCAAAGCTGATGGTGTAGGGCCTCACTGTTCTGGGGATGAAGGGCCTGGGAACTCTCAGAGGATGCTGTGACGACGCCCAGTCCTGCCCGCCCCTGAGTGAGCCCAGGAAGCCCCCGAAGACAGAGCGGCCCTGCTCACACAGAGAGGGAGCCGCCCAGATCAGCCCAGCCCACACGGCTCACTCTGGAGCAGCGTGGGACATTAAGCAACGCTTTCTCAGCCTTCCGTCTGTCATTTCTACCCATCGGGGGCAGGGGGGTCCTTACTCTACTCTCCAGAGCGTCTGGGGAACATATGTCGAAGGAGGCAGTTTTTAGACGTCTAGTAGCACAGCTGAATGGGGAAGGAAGTCTTTGGACCTAGGGTAAGTATCTCAGCTGCCACTTTGGACAAGAGGGTCTAGAAAGGAGAAGAACACAGTTTTTCAAGCCAAGAGGTCTATTTGCAAAGCACACCTCTAGCACCACATAATTACTACTAGACAGCAGCTAAGATCTGAGTGCTTTGTATGCTAGACATAGTTCTAAAAGCTTTACATGCATTAAATAATTTAATCCTTCCTATAGCCTAAAGGAGATAAGTCCTGGGTGTCATTGGAAGGACTGATGCTGAAACTCAAATACTTTGGCCACCTCATGCGAAGAGTTGACTCATTGGAAAAGACCCTGATGCTGGGAGGGATTGGGGACAGGAGGAGAAGGAGACGACAGAGGATGAGATGGCTGGATGGCATCACCGACTCAATGGGCATGAGTTTGAGTAAACTCCAGGAGTTTGTGATAGACAGGGAGGCCTGGCGTGCTGTAATTGATGGGGTCGCAAAGAGTCGGACACGACTGAGCGACTGAACTGAACTGAACTGATAGCCCCATGATATAGGGTGCCATAACTGCCTGTGTTTTATAGATGAGTTAACTAAGGTTCAGAGCACTTGAGGAAATTGCTCCAGTTCAGACTGGTAAGTAGAGGTGAACGCGGGAGTGAAATCTAACGGTTCCAGCCTAGCCCTCCTTCCACGACATCACACAGCAGCATCTAACAGCAGGGTTCACACCTGCTCACTGCTTACAGCCCTCATCCTGACCTGCAGGCTCCCACCTGTTTCCTGCCCTACATTCTGCCTTGCTCCTTATCCACTGGGACTTATTTTCTCAATTAGGGTTTGTCCCTTGGACCCCAATTCCAGAACCATAGAACCTTCCTTAGAAGGACTTTGCTTCCCACCTTAACAATGATTTATAATTTTCTATTATGCTATTTCTGAATTCCCTGGGTAGTAAATTCACAAACTACATCATAGATTCCAGTTTTCCTTCTAACTCATCTCAATCCTGCTTTTCTACTAAGATATTCTTAGAATATGAAAAGGTAGCAGCTGACATGCTGGGAGTTTTGCTAAGAGTCAATGCAAAAACAGCTTCCACTGGACTTCGTCGAGCTGGTAGGCGTGCACAGCCAGAGCTGTAGTATAAAGACTCAGTGCAGACTGAGCACAAGGCCCAGAACAGGCTGACTGCCTCTGGCAGCTTTTCTAACCATGGGCCCAGTCCTCCAAAGGTGACATGGCTGTAAGAGCATGTGTACCAGGAGACAGAAACAGCTGTGGGACAGAGTGGCACCCAACAGCAGAGACACCAGAAGACATTCACTCTGACGTTCAGGAGTTTAGGAATGAGTTCTTGTGAGACAAACAGCTGGCAGTGAGGCAGCTCCAAGTCCCTGCTGAGAACCACTGGGAACCCGCACATACCTTTACTCCGTCCAGCACGGCCTTGATGACCCCCTTCACAGTTGTCACCATCTCTTTATCTTCTGAGTTCACGCCTTCCAGCATCACTTGGTCAGACCAACGGATGAGGTTGGCGAGACTTTGGTACACTCGGCTGTAGCAGGAGGAGAGGGCTGAGCTGGAGGCAGGAGGAGATTTTCAAGAGAATATTAAAACTGCAAAGCACGGCCATCACTTTAAGTCTTCTGTTTAGCACAGACCTAGTTTCTCAGTGACTCAGATTTCTCAGTCCTTTCTATAAAATCTGCACCTCCTTTTAATAAATACACTTTCCCTCCCTGAACCTATTTCATATACCTGATGAAGATTTTGTGGAGTTTTATATTCTGGCCTAAGTTTTTTTTTTCATTTCTCAATTAAAATGTATAAAAATTCCATCAAGAGAGTTTATGTGCTTTTTCAAACTTCATATCCTCCATGAGATTCTGATAACATCTCTCAAGGAATGGCCCACCTTCCTCTCCTCCGACTAGGTCAGAGTTTTGTACACTTCTTATTCTGAATTAGATAAAAACTCACAGGTTGCTTTCACCTTCCGAGATGGCCCACACACTATGGAGTATGTTTCTCTCTAAATAAATCCACCTCTTACCTATCACTTGGGCTTCCCTGGTAGCTCAGATGGTAAAGTGTCTGCCTGCAATGCGGGAGACCTGGGTTGATCCCTGGGTTGGGAAGACCCCCTGGAGAAGGAAATAGCAACCCACTCCTGTACTCTTGCCTGGAAAATTCCATGGACGGAGGAGCCTGGTGGCCTAGAGTCCATGCGATCACAAAGAGTCGGACACGACTGAGCAACTTCACTTTTCACCTATCACTTTGTCTCTCACTGAATTCTTTCTGTAATGACACAGCAAGAACCTAAGCTTCAGCCTTGATGGGAGGGGAGTTTGGGGAAGAATGCATACATGTATATGCATGGCTGAGTCCCTTCCTTATTCACCTGAAACTATCACAAATAGTCAGGTATACACCAATATAAAATGTTTTTGGAGTTAAGAAAGTAAAAACTCATATGTGTCATGAGGAGCCAACAGGTTTGTGGGATTTTAGCAGGCAGGGTCTTTTAGAGAACAGCTTTTACTTTGATTAAAAAATTTTTCTTTAATCTTAGTTCCAAGACCAGGGATTGAACCCGTGCCCCCTGTAGTAGAAGAGTAAAATCTTAACCACTGGGCCACCACTTCCAATGAGGGAAGTCCCAAGGAATAACCTTTAAATATGAGTTCAAAAGACCTGAAATTTACTAGAATTCCTCCTAACACTGGCTTGGCTTTGTCATCCCCTGCAATAAACCATGGTTGAGAAGTCAGAGGAATGCACTAGTGAAGGGTATTTTAAGAAGGATAAGGCAGAGGCAGGTGACCTGTGGTGGTGGGAGAGGTATCAACTTTGCAACAACACAAAACAAGCCCCAAGTGCTTTTGGAGGCCCTAAGAGTCGCAGAGTAGAGGCCAAAATGAAGATGTCTTATATCTCACACATATTGTTAAAATAACTAAAGATGATTATTCTGGGGATTTATGGGAAGAATTATTTTTCTATTTTGAATATTATGTATTACAACTGAAGAAGAGCAAAAGTGTAGAAACCTTGCGGGCTGCTATCTCCTCCATTAAAAAAAAAAAAAGAAGCTGATATTTAGCAGCCAAAGATATGCTTTTTCTCCACAGATATAATTGTAAGAAAAATACATAATATTGTAAGATGACTAAAACAGGTTCTAAAAATAAAGCCATTTAAAAAAAACACCTGAACAAAACAATGCTCTAACAAGAAGCTCTTCAGAATCAGATAAAGAGGAAGAGAATTTCCAGGACACTGGTCTCTACTCTGCTGTTCGCTCTACCCCACGCGTGTTCCAATGGGGAAAGAAGAGTCAGAAAGACTGAAAGCAAACTCCTCAAGGCCCATCACAAAGAAGAAAAATGTAAGAAAGAAGCCACAAGAAAGCCAGGATTTGGCTGCTTTAGAGGATAATATAAATGCAGAGTATTCAATGTCACACCTATTCTCTTAGAAAGGATGACTAGGAGAATAAAACAAAACTTTTAGACTTTTCCTGGGTCCTCGATCATAGGTGACATGGTCCTGAAAGGGAAGGTGCTCCTAGCAGTTCTGCCTTCTCCTTCTAGGCAAGGCAAGATGAGGCCTTTTTAAACAAAGATGGGCTTCTCACCCCCGGCCTGAGTGGATGCCACCAAAGCACCTGGCAGTAATTAGATGAAAGAGGTAGGAGGGGTCACTTTTCTGTGACGCTCAACTCCTACCTGCACTGGATGTTAACATCTTCCTGAAAGCACCTAAAGATATCAGTGATTGTGTCCACCCTTCACATGGTTAGCTTGGAGGAAGAACAGTCCTGTGTCTTAATGTCACAGGAAAGACATTAAAAAAGGAAGGAGGGTCCTGTACGATAAAGATGTCCAGAGGACCAGTTCATCTGCTTCTGAAACAGAGCAAAGCCGTCTACATGGAGGGCGAGCAGCGATCCTGCTCTCACACCTCCGTTCATCGCCCACAAGGGGCAGCCAGCTGCTTGTTCACAGGCCCGTCACCGCTGACCTGGGAACAGGCGAGAAGGGTGGCCAACAATCTGCTGGCTGGAACCCACCCACAGAGGAGGCAGGGTAATACCCTCCCAGCCAACAGACGGGTTCCCGTGCTCAGCATCAAGAGTCCACCTGCCAATGCAGGAAATGCAGGTTCGATCCCTGGGTTGGGAAGATCCCCTGGAGGAGGGCATGGCAACCCATGCCAGTATTCTTGCCTGGAGAATCCCATGGACAGAGGAGCCTGTCCACAGGGTCGCAAACAACTGGGACATGACTGAGCAACTAACACACACATAACCAACAAACATGCTCAGAGAAATGAGATGGTGGAAGGAAGCTAACAGAAACATGTGAGAGAGTATTTTCAATCATGTCAGTGACAGCAATAAAAATATCATCAATTGGCTTTCAAAAAATTTCAGGAGGAAAAATCCCTTAAATGGTATTAACCAAAGGACTACCAGGAAAAAAGAAAAGGGAAAAAACCATTGTTCCTTATGGCCACACCCAGGCATTTCTCTTTTCCCGTCAAGGAAATCGTTACAGATGTTAAGTAATTATAATACCTCCCCACAGACCAAAAAACACCCCAGACCAATGTCACATTACTTGATCAAGTCTCCCAGAGCTTGTGTGTCTAGAAAGTAGCTTCCCCAGTAGAGCTGTTGGCTGACACTTGGGGACGCGAGGCTGGGCAGCAGTGCGGGGCCAGCACTCTCACGGGACTCAGCGAAGGTGGCCGTGGTGACTCTCCCAGGGAGGGGGGCATACGAGGTGGTGGGCACGGGGCTCCAGCAGGAGGTGCCCACGTGGTCACACCCTGCTCACACGACTGCACGTCTCTTCCCTCCCGGGACATACCTGCCCGCTGCCCTGGTTCCTCTGGTCGTCTTCTCCTGCCCCCAGAGCCCATCCAGCGCCTGCCTTGACGTCAGGTCCAGCCCCAGCGTCTCCTCCCCCAGGAAGTTTAGTAAGTGCGACTCTCTTGTAACTCGCCCTCCATAAAATCGGCACCTGGTCAGATACTGGGGGAGTTGGTGTTCTCAACCAGATCTGAACTCTCCCGTGGTGGGCCCAGCCCATGAGAAGTCTATCAGAGCATTTCATAGAAAGCTGTCTATGCACCTGAAAAGAGCTTACTGTCGGGCACATTCCCTCCAAGGAGAGCCGCACTGGGCCTGTCCACGAGCCGGGCACTGGGACCTAGTGGGAAAGCACAGCACTTGTCTCACAGAGGCCTCCAGGGGCCTCTGAACAAGGCACTGAAGCAACTGGCTGCCCCAGAGGCTCGGGTACATGATGGCAGCCTGCTGTGGAAAGTGAAGACAGAACCGGGCAAAGCCCTATCAATGCTACATCCTTCCCCACCAACTGGCCCCAGTGAGCTTCCAGTCAGAAGACCACCATCTACAGGGGTCAGCAGAACCTACAGGGGTTGGCAGAAACCCCAGGACAGGTAGCTTCTTGGAAATGAAGATACTGTTTGCTTTATCTCCCCAAAGAAGAAAACTACGTACTTCATTGCCAAGTTCTGAAAGCGGTTCATAAAAGCTTAGCCCCATGGGGCTATAAGGACACTAAACCATCCTGAGGAACTGAAACAGAGAGATGTTTATCCCGAACAGGTATCAGGGAAGGAAAACAAAGCCAGCAGGCATCTGACAGCCTCTCGTGAGAAGGCTCCTGCGAGGCTCTCACTGAAGATTACATTCAATACTGCTTTTCTTTCTGTGGTTAACAACAAACACAGAGGCAAGCCACTGACTAACCTTTCAGAGGAAAACGAACTCTAGCAAAAAAAAGAAGCATTACCCAACAAAAGCTGACTCCATCCCCGTACCTGGCTTCCAATGAATCCAGCTGCCGTCTGGGAGGACCTGGCTTGATACTACTCAACATTTCACTAATCCATGCTCTACTGGGATTCCTCTCTACCTCTTTTGGCTTAATAATGTAAGCGGTCAAGGTCTCTAAGCAGCTAGATACTGGCAGGATTTGGTGTCACAATAAACTATGGTTAACACAGGGAACTGGGGAAAATGTATCCAAATCAATGGGATGATTGCCAATGAGCCAGCTAGTATGAAAAAAGAACCACAGGCTTACCCAGCGGCTACCCCCCAGCAGTGGTGGTGAGCTTCTTCAGTGTCGAGGCCTCATGAGTAATAATGACCTCAACCTTGGGAGAAAACCAAGTGGAGATCATGGGGCAACTCTGGGGGCAGGGGCTGGGAGGGCTCCTTTTCCTCCTGGTACTCCTCACTGTTCATAGAAACGTCGGGTGTGAATGGCCCCCAAACTGAGGTGCTGCTATGCCTCCACGGCCAGTTGCCCAACTCACCTGTGCTGAATCCGAGGGTCGCTCTGCACCAGGGGTAAGATGGCCTCCAGCACCTTGCTGGCAGACCCTGGGAGCATCTCCAGGACCTTCTTATCAATGGCCATTTTGTCCACAATGGTCTTAAAGTAGCGCAAGGCACTGACAACTTCCTTCTCTTTCTCCTCCAGCCAGCTCAGGTTCTGAAAGGAAATGTTAAGCATAAGGAGGGAGGAGAGAGATTAAAGGGAGTGATTTTAAAAGAAATAAATAACATTTCCTGTAGACCACTTTGAGATTGATGCCACTGGAAAGGGCTTCTTGGTGCAGAAACTAAGTCAAATTGTTTCCCTAAGGACTGCAATCAGGATACAGAGGCCAGACTTGGAGGCGGAAGAAGGGGCTGGATGGAGAAAAGTAGTTTAGGTATTCCTAAGTCCCTTCCTAGACAGAGACAGACTCGCCCGGGGTCTCCTGAACTATCACCGCTAATCTCAGGAAGTGTAGTGAGGACTGATTTGCTGATGGCTGTAGGATGCTAGGGTACTGTGCACATCTATCCAGGAAGTCAAATTGAGAAACCCCAGGACTTTCGAGGTCCTGGGGGCAGTGTGAGACTGGCCAGAGGCATTAGTGCTCAAAGCCCATTCTCTAGCGTTCCTTGCTAGATGCCCACATTTGACCTGCAGACCCACTGCCCTCTCAGTAAGATGAGATGGCTCTCCCAGAGGACCTGGAAGCCCTGGGGTTAAAGGGTGAGGAAGCTGGACAAACAGCAGAAATTCAGGCATTGCTCCTGCTGCAACTGCTAACAGCATCCAGAGTATCTCTGCTTCTGAGGAAAGCTGACCAAGGAAGAAAATAAAAATACAGAGCCCTGTTCCTCCCAGCATTCACATTCCCACACCCAAGTCTCTCCTCTCTGACTGTGGAGTACCTTGAATCCACGGTCAGTGGGTAAACACACTCCTTACAGTGACCCTAAGGTCAACAACCCAGGTCCCAGCTGGCTGGCAGGGATAGGTAGATAAATCCAAAAATGGATAATCCATTCGAGTAGAACCGATTACTTGCCCAGGGCAAATTAAGGGTAGTATATATGAGGAAAACTCCCACCTATGGGCTCTTTGAGCTGCAGAGACTATATAAACAAAACCCACCAAGGACAAGAAGATAATTTCTTAAAAAAGGAGATTTAAAACTATACAAATACATAAAAAAGTGATAAATAATAAAGTGATTACGATTCCGAACATTATTTTAAAATAATGAGGAATGTCATTTTAAATTAAATTTTTAAATAGTGGATTTCATGGGAATATCAAAGAAAAACCACATAAATAGAGTTAAGAAGTAGTTAGTTCCTTTAGTGGGACAACTTTCATAGACTTGATTTAGCTCCTCTCAATGGGTGTCCTTCCCCAATGGTGTTCTGCAGAGCACTAGAATATCATTCTCCCATTCCCAGCGTGGGCCTCTCTGCCCTCACTTTATTTTTCTCTTTTTACCAACTGACACCTTTATTTACTGTCCGCTTCCAAGAGCCAGGCACTTGCTTCTCTAACTCACGGCAAGCGCGCTCTGCTTTGCTAGGCCTACACGGGGCTCAGAGGAACCTCAGTCTGAAGGAATCATGGCGCTGCACGGACATCAAACGTGAGTAAAACCACACTGGCTGGTTGGGCAAGAGGACAACGGCCACAACACCGCCCTCTCAGCACCTCAGGACTGCTCAGGCGCCAGCCTGACGAAACAGGGGGAGGAGGCTGAAAATGTTTCAAGAAAATGTGTCCCCAGGTATGCTAGGGAGAAAGGGGCTGACCTGAAGATGGGAGGCCTCCCAAGCGGCAGATGTTTCACAACAGAGAATTCTCCTGTCATTTGCAGAGAGATCAAACTGGGCTGCCCTGGGCTCCTAACAGAGGTGTGACAACCTCACAGAGTCAGGTTTCATCCACTAACGCTCCAGCAGATTCCACTCCCTGACTCAGTGGCCTCTGAATGCTGTGCATTCCCTCCGCCCTCCAGCTGTTAAAACTATGGCTTCTCACAAAACACAGCCAGCAGTCAAGAGTCTACAATGAGACACCCAGAAGAAGTACCCCCAGGAACCAGGAACCTGAGGCAAGGGCCTAGGAGAGGCAGGGGCATCCACCCGCACACTTCCTCATGCATCAGGGGGTTAGGGGCCACCACGGCACAGACAGACCTGGAAACCCCCTGAGGCCAGCGGTGCTGGGGCAGGTCGTGATCCAAAGGCACCACTGGGCTTCAGGCTCCTCGTGTGCAAAACGGGAATACTAACGCCTGCTCTGGGTGGGCTAAGGAGGTTTGTGAGGGTGCTGGGGCAAAATATTTGTGGAAGCATTTCATAAAATTAAGGGAATGGCAGATTCTGATTAAGCAACCTTGGCCCAGAGCCCACACTTTCTGTATACCAGAAACAGTGAAAGCTTGTGTGCACGGTCAAAGTGAGAAGGAAAACAGCGTGTGATGTCACCCAGGACAGGGCCCGGCAAAGGGAGACCCGCAGGAAGCTGTGGGTGAATCCAAATCTATTCCTGTCTGCCTGAGCTGCAGCTTCCCAGGTAACATCTTGGGAACAATGAGACTATACAGAGAAACACTAAGTTGTAAGAGCGTTAGTAAGTAACAGTTAAGGATGACAGCAGAAGACAGGTTATGGTAAGATATTTCCAACAGAGTCAGCTACGCTCACACCCTGGCAGGCAGACCCCCAACACTTCCAGTCCTGACTGTGGGCCTCCGTGTGGGTTTGGACTCACTCTGGATCATGCAGGTGACAGGGCACGGTAACGCCACCCTTCTTAAAGGGTGATGACCAGAAACCAGGGTGATGCTCTTCCTTGGGCGAGGATCTATACAGCTCCTTCCTAGAGAACAGTTTCTCAGCAACGGCATGGGCATTTTAGGGCAGACGACTCTTGTGGGGGGTGGGGGGTTGGGGGTGGGGGACGTGCTGTCCTGTGCATCGTACAACACCTACCAGCACCCCCGGCCTCTACCCACCGGCCGCCGGCCACACCTGCGGCAGTCTCCTGGTTGTGACAACCAGAAATGTCTCCAGACACTGCCAGCTGTGCCCTGGAGTCTGCAGGAACCCCCACTAAGGAAAGGGTACCTGAATGTCAAGTTTCCTCTATCATTTCTCTTGGAATAAGGAGGAAAGGGGGGCGGGAAACGCCAAGAAGTGAGCAGCTGGAAGAGTTTCCTATCAGAGTTCACTAGCAAAACACGGTGCTCAATGCATCATTTTACTCTGGGCTGCCTGGACAGTGTCAGATGACAAGTGACACTCCTCTTGGTGTTCTATATAAAACCCAGCTCCAAGGGATAGATAAACAGATTGTAATTTAAAAAAAAAAAGAAAATAATTGTGGTACAGACCAAATCTTGCACTTTATTCTTCTCTTCAATTTGGAATTCAGATCAGTCTGGTAAACAATGTACATGTCATTCTTGCTCTCTAGCCTCTTTTTGTTAACAGATGGGGCAGGAAAAATGATTCAGTGAAAGACTCTGGACCGAAAACCTTTATTTTCCCTACTTTTAACTAGTATTTTAAGATATTCTGCTGGTCAACACAAAAACAAGAGGAAGTACACTGCAAAATTCAATAACTATGTGTTTATGTAACAGGGCAGTGTTTGCTAGTGGCGTTAAACTGACAGCTGAGCTGTGACAACAGTTCTACACTGTGGATAGTTACTAAAGGACTGAGAATCTACTTCTCTGACAGGCTTGTCTTTATTTTACCTCGCTAAGTTTAATTTTGTTTTTATGTTCATTATATGTGGAGGCTAGCATTAGGTTTGTGAGGTATTAAAAAATAAACTGACTTTCATAAAGAGTAAATGTAGCATCATCAGAGTTTCGACTTGATGTCTGGTGGCCTGGGTTTCAATCTCTGGGTCACAGCTCTTTGTATGGCTTTGCCCAAGTGTTTAGTAGCTCCACAGCCCTAGTTTCCTTGTCTGCAAGATTTAAGTTTCCACCTCCCAGGGTTATAATGAGAATTAAGTAAGGGAACGAGTGAAAGTACTGAGCATGGGGCTAAGAAAAGGCTTGGTAAATGTTAGCAGCACAAAAGGAGTCCCTGGCTATGAGACACTGGTTCTGTGCTATCTCATTACGCTTAGGAGTCTCGCGAGACATTTAAAGAGACCTTACACTTTACACACCCTTCCTCAACTGTCCAGAGCATCTTAGCAGCTCAAGGAAAGGAACAGCTGGTCTTAAGAGATGAGACTCACCCGTTACCCCCAAACCCGTTGGACCCAAGCAGCACACCCAAACCAATCCCCGAATCCCCAAGCTTTGACCATGGAGCACTGGGCTTGCTCCAAAGACCACAGAGGCCTGGATAAACTCTGACTTTTATCCATGGCTCCTTGGACTGTTTCCTGAGCAGTTAAGCCCACAGTTGCCACCCAACTGAACACAATGATACTGCAACAGAAATTTTTTTTTCCATCCCCAAAACCATGGGCCAGGATTCTGCAGTAGAAGGCAAGGCAAACCCAATTGTTCTTAGCATCACACTGACCTTCTGCCTTTGAGACCTGGAAGCCACAGCACTGGTGGACATAAACTCTACTGCCTGCTGCTCCAGATCCAAGGGGATAGGGTAGCCCTCTGGTAGAAATCTGTCTGTTGCCTCCTGGAAGAGAGGAAACCTGGATTCCTACAGAGCTTGAAATGGCCGTTTTAAGCTGAAGGAAAGGGGTTGATGAAAGTCAACAGCTGTTGCAACACATCTGGCTCGACTGGCCCTGCTGAGGTTCCTGGTGTTTGAGGGCCTCTTCGGCTGGGTTTCAAGGGTTTAGCAAGTTTCAGAGCGTGGGCCCTGGAACCAAATGATGGATGTTCTGGACATCACAAATCTACGTGTGTGTGTCGGGGGGCAAGAGGGGCGTCTCTAGGGGCATGGAGACCACAGCCTGGGTGTGAACTTGATGCGCTGAGCTGTGTTAAATGCCCAGAGGATGACATCTGGAAAAGAACTGTTCTAGCCAACCACGCTGGACTCTGATTAATGGGAGAAATGCTCACCGTCCTAAAGGTTCCTATTTCACAAGGACACGGAAGGCCCCACCTGGAACCGTGGAGCGCCACAGGAAAGGTGCTCTGTACTGAAAGCTCAGTCCCCAGGGCATGAACTTAGAAACAGCACAAACATATTGCTCCAAGCAGGTGACGGCCAGGATAAACACCTGGAGTCAGCTTACTTTGTTCATGGGCTTCTCTGGAATCTTCACAGACACCTCGGCTGGTTTTCCCTTCTTTGATGGCGTTCTCTTGATTTTGGGCGAGTGGAATTTGTCCTTCAGCTTCATGGTGAAGGAGGAGAGATGAGAACGCTGAGAGTCTGAAAACAGAGGAGGCACTGAATGTTAGAGGCAGAGTGGGAAGAAGCCGTGGTTCACTCACCTTCTGTGGAAATGAGTGTTGTCCTCGGGCAAATCTTTCCCTTTCACTGTTTGAGGTTACAAAGAAAAGGAAACATGGATCCATTCAAACTCTTCTGCTTACACCTTTCAATTTTTGCAATTTCCTTCCAAGTTAGGGTGAAAGCAGTCAAAATGGGTGTGGAAAACGAATACGCAAATACTTCCATGCATCCCTATAGAGTTCACCTGATGATCTAACCAACGTCCAAGGGAACTGGCTAAGATGAAAGGACACTGCGGTGGAACCGCAGAAGGGCTGGATGTGAGAACTGGGAACGAAGGCCCTTTTGAGTAGACTTCTCATTGTTTGGTTAGGGAACCGCAACTAGCGACATGCGTCAGGCCTCAGAGCTGGCAGTGGAGACTGGAGTAGAACTAAGGTGTTCAAAACCCTCAGGGTTTTGAAAGACAACATGGTTTCTCAACAAAATCAGGAACAAGACGAGGGTGTCCATTTTGGTCCCTGTTACTCAATTTTGTACTCCAACACAAGCCATCCAGATTGGAAAGGGAGATATAAAACTAATCTGTTTGTAGATGACATACTTTTGTATATGAAAAATCTAAAGCAATCCACTAAGGAACTAGTACTAACAAACAAATTTAGTAGGCTCACAGGATACAAGATGATATACATCATAAACAAGGTCACAGACAAGAATCACTTTTATTTCTACACAATAGCAAGGAACATTCAAAATGAATGTAAGAAGCTTCCATTCACAATCATCAAAACGAATAAAACACAGGTCTAAAACTACGTTTAAGTGGCGTTCTGATACGCTACACCATGGATGAATCTCAAAAACATGATGCTAAGTGAAAGAAGCTAGTCACAAAAGACCACATATTGTATAATTCTGTTTATCTGCAATGTCCAGAACTGGCAAATCTCTAGAGACAGAAAGTATTAATAGATGAGAGGTTGCCTAAGACTAAAGGGGGTAGAGAGGGATGGAGAGCGGCTGCTGGTGACTAAGAGATTTCTTCTGGTGGGGGAGAAGTGTTCTAAAATTAGAATCTGGTGATCATTACACAACCCAGTGAATTACTATAAAAAAAAACTTTGAATTCTACACTTTAAAGGAGTCATGTAGTCATGTATGTGAATTCTATCTCAATGAAACTGTTGAAAAAAAAAAACAACAAACCCAATGAGCAGCCTTCCTTCATTTACCACAGCACTTTCCAGGGTTTGAAACCATTTTATTAAATTAGTTATGTGTTTACCTCCTCACAAGAACACACTCGCTGAAGACTGTACCTGCCCTGCTCAAGCCTGCGTCTCCGATGCTAACACCATATGTGGCCCAGAGAAGATGCTCGGGAAACATTAATTCAGCAAATGAACAAATCAACCAAAGAAAAAATACCCCATGAAAAGCACTGCTTCTTTGGGTAATGTCAGAAATTCACAGAAAATACTTGAAAATGTTTGACAGGGAGAACATGATTCTATGCAATGGAAAAAAAAGTATGTGTATTTTAAAAATAAAAAAATACACTCCCTTTTAATTTTCTCAGCAATTTAGTACTAAAAAACAACAACAAAAAAACCCTTCCAAATAAATGACATAGCACCTCTATTACAGGCGTGTCACTGTGTCTACTAGTGCTGCACGTGGCTTATCAGGGGCCAAGGCTCAATCCTCTTGTCAAAGACCTCCAGGCTGCAGGCAGGATCAGATACACGATCCGCCCTTTACAATTATCTAGGAGCCTCCTGCACTCTGGACCAGAGAGAGAAGCCAGGCCTGACCTTCGTTCACAAGGGCAGTCAAACCAAACCCAGCCTTGCAGCTGTCTGTCCGCCAGCCAGAGCTGCGAGAAGCTCTTCTTAGAGCCCAGCACAGACACAAATCCAGAGGGCTGGCGCGCCTCTCTGCTCAGCTGGAGCCACTCAACGCAGAGCCCCGGGGCTCTCGGTACCAGCCCTTGCGGGCGGCGCCAGCCCTGGGATTCACAGCAGGCCAGCAGATGGTGTGATTGCTCCAGCTCCCCTTCTCTTCCCCACCCAAGCAGGGGGCCCACATACAGTTCACACTTGCTTCTTTACAACAGCTTCAGTAGTTCACACGGTGGTTAAAAGGGTGGGCAGTTGTAGTCGGACTGTTTGCAGTCGACACACTTCAGCAGCACCTCTTAAGTCTCAAGTTTTGTCTGGTAACATTGTTCTACCTGAGACATCTGAGGTGATGCGTGTTAAATGAGACACTGGCTCTAGTAACGCAGGAAGGCGCTCATCCACGTGCGGGGCACACGGCACCTGCTCAGTGCTGGGAGCTAACCTAACTGTGTGATGTGGACTGGCTGCTGGTCGGACAGGGACACTGCAGCACTGAACGCGTGACTCGATCCCGGGGAACGGCGGGCCTCACACATGCCCCTCTTCTCCCTTTAGTACTGAGCGGAAGTCTCAACCCGGCTGGAGCCCGCTGGTCTCTGCCCCTCTTTCAGGCTGCTCTGCTTGCTGCCCCCACCTGCTCCTTAGAACGCTGGTCTCAGCATCCCCAAGGTCACAGCACATCCCTCTCCAGACAGGTTCCCAAGTCAGATGCTAGGGTGTGACTTCTACCCTGGTGAGTAAGACCGAAAGCAGGGCAAGAGAAGCAGACGCAAATGGGGAAGTATAGGCAGGATGCATGGTTTCTTTGGTGGGCAAAGATCTTCAGAGACACAGACTGGGCAAGCCAGCTTCCGCCTCCTCCAGTCTGCTGCCCTGCATAGCTATTACACATGGGTAGGCATGGGGCTGAGGGATGGCCAGTTTCACTCTGTGCCATCAGGGCCAGGGCAGAACCAGGGTAGGCAAACAGGGTGTGGAGGCCCCCCCCAGCCCCCGATTATGACCAAGGGCCCAGGTAAGGCCACCTTCACTGGAGAGCAGCCAGAGCCGCCCAGGAAGTACACGGCAACAGGCTCTGGGCTGTCCCAGGGCAGCGGGGAATCCACATGAGCACATAAAGAAAGTGCGTATCTACCAATAAATCTCTCTCCTTGGAGTACTTAACAGCCTCAGACAGCCAGCTCTAGCACAAGACGCAATAAATCAAGTGGAGAGAGCAGGTTCTTTGTCATGACAACCAACCTCCTCAAGTTTGGAAATCAAGGGCAGCACAAACTAGGACAGGCTTCAACTTGGAGGCTGCTTGTCGTCTCTTCCTTCAAACAACAAAACTTAGCAACAAAGCCTTCAGCACAGGTTTCAGGAGATTTGGAAAGTCACTCAAACTACACACCTGAGAGCAGATAAAGCACCATGATGACCAGGGACGACACAGTCGGGGCACACAGAGGTGGCAGCTATGTTAGGGTAACCCTGCCAACACACCACCCACAGACGTGTGTGTGCACATGCGCACCCGCACACACACTTTGGACCCCTTCTCAAGTCCCTTGTGTGTGTCACTCAACTCCGGTGGGGGGCGGTGCCAAAGAGATGGTCACACGAAGGCAGTTTCAGGTAACTTTACCAACCACTCCGACTTCTCACTTGGGAAATTACACTTCAGATTTTCTAAATGTGTGTGCTTAGAGATTTTCTAGCACTGAAATTAAAACAAAATTTTGAAAGATTTCATACATGAGTCTATACAACTTACAGAGAATGAATGAAATCTATGTATCCAGTGACCTCACCCACCAAACGGAACTTCGAGCAATGACAGACATGTTCCATGTCCACAATGTCCAACACGACAGCCACTCGAGGTTACCAAGCACTTGGAATATGCCTCGTGTGACCAAGAAACTGAGTTTTTATTGGAATGTAGAGAAACAGCCACGAGAGGCTGGCGGCCGCCCCACTGGACAGCTCGGCTCAAGAAGCAGAACCCCGGTGAGCCCCCCACCGCCCCCACAGGCCCCGTCATGATGGTGCTTCCCGCCCGGCAGTGGGGAGCGGTGGTGCTGAATTTTGTGCTCGTCACTCCTTACTTTTTACGCTAGTTTAGATCTGTGAGCAGAGTTTAACGAGTAGGTTTGTGACGTAACTTGAATGATGTTATACTGTAAACGCTCCTCTGTTCCTGCTTTTTCACTCAATGGTAGGTCTGACATTTAACCAGGTGACGTGTACAGAAGTGCTTTCGTTTTCAGTCCTGTACAATTCCACGCCTTCTGTAACACCGGTTTCATTTATCCACTCTCCTGTCAGTGAACGCTGGGTCATTTTTGGCATGTCTGCTTCTATAAACAGCACTGCTCTGACCTTTCTTGTGCATTTCCTCCTGGAATACACGCGAGAGCCTCAGTGACAAGAGCCGCTGGACTAGAGTGCACACCACATCTCATCCGAGGGCTGCTGCCCAGTGACCTCCGGAGGGTCTGGGCCTCTCTGCGGCCCCAGGAGCACGGCCGAGCCCCCCACGCAGTGCCACACCCACCAGGACCTGGGCTGGCCAGACCTGCATGCCTTATGACAGGGCCACGCCTAGCCAAAGAAACAAAAGCCCTCCTGTACGTGGAGGCGCCTGCTGGTGTGTCTTACTATGCTCTTTCAAATTGGCTGGAACAACCTCAAAGGTCACGGCCAGAACTAAAGAAAACAAACCCTCAACCACTGCTCATGTATGCGTGTGCTCAGTCATGCCCAACTCTTGCAACCCTATGGACTGCAGCCCGCCAGGCTCCTCTCCATGGGATTTTCCCAGCAAGAACACTGGAGGGGGTTGCCATTCCCTCCTCCAGGGGATTTTCCTGACCCAGGGATCAAACCTGCGTCTCCTGCATTGCAGGTGGATTCTTGACCCCTGGCCACTGGGGGAGCCCAAGCACTGCTCGGTATGGCATTTACACCAAGGAGGGTCAGGAACTCCCAACGACCAACCTGCGAGTCCTTTCTTCCAGAGGAAGAATGCTTACATGACCTCACAGTCAATTTCTGCAGAGACGGTGTGACGAGACGGAGAGCAGCGTT